GCAAGTGAAAAGAGGTCTCCCCTTGCCCTTCCTTTTTGGAGATGCAGTCTTAGCTCAAATTTATCTTTAAACCTCATGTAAGGTATGTGGCTGTACATTGTTGTAGTGAGAAAATTCAGTGCTGCATATGTGTCTCTGCTCTTCTTTTGTAGTAGAAACCACCTTTTTCTTTCTAGAGGGGATGCTTTGAGTTTTGATATTTTGTTCCTAGTCAGAACCAATTTCCCTACTCAAAAATGAAAGTAGAACCAAACAAAGTGCCTTTTTCCTTCCATACTGAATTCAGTTGAAAAAGATTTATAAGCTTGATCAATGTTTGAAAAATAACAATTGCTTTAATCTTTGCTGGAAAGCACGGCCGAGTGATTTGTTTTGTCTCACAGAAACAGGGCTGGCTAACAAGTGTTATGGAAGACATACAAATAATGTTATGAAACACAAAAGATTCTTGGTTTTAAAAAGCATATTGCCTTAAAACTGTTTGGGATTGTAAGTGGTAGGGTCCCCAACAGTGTATGCTGCTGTCTGAAAACAGCTTTCTTTCAATGGAAACAACACAAAGCAGCAAAAGCTGCTGAAAATCAGCATAAGGACTCTTGAGACTGACACGAGCAGAGCAACAACCACACAGAAAACCCTCAATACCCTCAATGCCACCCCTGTCTAGCTGGTCTGTTTGTTTCTCACGCATTTATGTCCTTAATATAGCCATACTGCTTCACATGCCTCAGTGCAACAACGATTACTCTCATCATTAGCTTTGAGCAAGGAGGGAAAAAGTACTTCTAATTACTAATTTTTGCTTTCCCTTCTCCCCCAGATTTGTTCAGCACAAAACCAAAAAAAGTTCCAGTTGTCAACTCCAATTAAAATATTGTGAAACTCATGGTGCCTAAAACATTTAAAAATAATTTTTAAAAGTTAATTTCATGTTCATATATCAAAACTCTAACAAACATGTGATGGTAGTTGCCCCTCTCACTACAAGTCATACCAGTGCTGAAGTTCCAGTGTAGTTGCAAAAAGAATTTTTTCAGCCCACAACAGCTCTGTAACCGTGTCTCTGAAGCAAGGATAAGCTTATCAGTACCTGGAGGCACCCTATCTTTATTCTGAAGACAATGTGAAGCTCTGTTCCTGTGCAGCAGTTGAAACAAGCAGGAGCTGTGAGGTCAGTCAGCCGGGGCAGGAGGCACGGTGCTGCTCCCGGCCCCGCTGTCGCATGCTAACCGTGGCTGCGGGGCACCGCGCCGGCTGCGCTCTGCTCTCTGCAGAGGCTCTTCTGCAGCTCAAATGATAAGGGCATGTGAGCCTCAAGAAAAGCAGAAATTGCTGTTAGGTTGTGAATGGCTGAGGCACAAAGCACAATGCTGAATGCAGAATCCCAAAGGAATTTAGTTGAAAGGAAAATAAATCTCAGTAATAGGCTCAGGTTTAGAAAAGGAAGGGGGTTTTGTGTGATTTCTTTTCAGGAGAGATACTCAGATATTAAGGGGATGGGTGACTCAGAAATGCCACAGATGTTTACTATTCTACACTTTTATAAAGCCTCTCCTATAAAACATACCAAATAACTTCATGAGACTTAATGGATTGAATGTTTCAACATCCTTTGGGGTCAGATGATAGCAACATAATATTCACATTAAAGATAACATACAACACTTTCCCACAGACATAAAGCAAAACTAGAAACAGTAAGCAGTCTAAGCTTTTCATCACTGCCCAGTTAATCTGGTTAGTTGGCACATGCTTAACATATGCCAAGTACCAGCATTCACATCAAAGCCTAAGCCCATTTCTACATCCCTCTCTCCTTCTCTTTTTACACACAAAGCTTTACCCTGCAGCTCTCCATATGGAGAATATATTCTCTTCAGCCAGTGGTGTTTTCTGGTACAGTGTAGGACCTTCCCCTGTCAGTGATGCCTGGGACCTATCTGTCCTTTCTAAGATGGGAAGTGCTAGAGACCGAGCAGCAACCTAACAATCCTTGCCACCAATATATTGCAAATGTGTTCTGGCACAAACCCATCCTACCAAAATCTGGAAAAAACTATCATGTCCCTGGCTAACTTTGGATCAGAAGTTTTATCTGCATGGGTGGTGTAACTGCTGGGAAGGGGTACATGGGCCAATAAGTGAGTGTGCTTTCTCTCTTGTTGATGTAATTCTTTTGGCTTCCAAAATGTGGGGGAAAAAATTGCTTGGGAGCTATATGCAGAACAATTCCTATAGTACAGTAAAACATCCCTCTTCCCCTCAAGAAAACCAGGTTACCTTCCCAAAACCAAGCTCTTGCAAAAACCTCGCATTGGCTTCTTTCAATTAGACAAACACGAAAACAAACAAAAGCAGCTTCACTCAGATTTTCTACTCAATAGTTTCCAAACAAAATCAGCTGTGTGGCATATGCCACCAAAACAATAGCTACCAGATTAGCAGATGGTATGTTGTGAATTAATTGTTGACACAAACCCCAGACATACCACTCAATCCTCTCCTGACACCTAAACTTATTTCCCTATTATTTTTCTCACCTCATTATATTTGCTCACAACATGAAAAAAAAAATTTAGATATTCCATCTGGATTTAGACATGAAAAGTTAACCTGCAATTTGTTATTACTCTGCCGTCTTTCAAAAAAAAAAAAAAGGCAGTTTGACTACTGCAGAATAAAAACATGGAACAGGAAGCTCTGTGAGTCTGGATACCTATACATTTCATAGGATCATAGAATCATTAAGGTTGGAAATTATTTCTAAGATTATCAAGTCCCACTGTACACCTAGGTCACTGTTTTCACAACTGCCACATCCACATGCCTTTTGAGCCATTCCTGGGCAGCTTGTTCCAATGCCAGACTATCTTTTCAGTGGAGAAATTTTCCCAGTGAAATCCAAACTTCCCCGTGCAACATGAGACCATTTCCTCTTGTCTTGTCAGTTGTTACTTAGGAGAAGTGATCAACCCTCACCTCACTACAACCTCCTTTCAGGCAGTTGTACCGGATGATAAGGTCCCCTCTGAGCCACCTCTCCTCCAGGCTGAAAACCCCCAGCTCCCTCAGCATCTCCTCACAGGACTTGTGCTCCAAACCCTTCAATAACTTTGTTGTCCTTCTCTGGACATGCTCCAGCACCTCAATGTCCTTCTTGTAGTGAGGGGGCCCAGAACTGGACCCAGCACTCGAGGTGTGGCCTCACCAGTGCCCAACACAGGGGAACAATCACTGCCCTGGTCCTGCTGGTCACACTATTGCTGATCCAAGCCAGGATGCCACTGGTTTTCTTGGCCACTTGGGCACACTCCCAGCTTGTGTTCAGCCACTGCTGGCCAAGACTTCTGTTTGTTCCCTCCGGCCTCCCTGGCTGCAATAAGCAGACACTCCACCAAGTGCTCTCACTCACCCTCCAGGTACAGAGGAGTGTGAGCCAGGGCTGGTGAGTCCAGAGCTACATGTGCTAATCCAGCAGCTCACTGCTGCTAAAACTGTAATATTGTCCATCACATCTCGGTTCTGCCTGCCAGTTACCTAAGGGAGCACTGATCTTTGTCCATCCCTACCCTACAGGTATTGTTTTTTCCAAAATTTCAATTTTCTCCCCTACTTTATAATGTGGCTGAAACCACACGGTGGCATTGAAGGTAGAAAGGAAGGCACAAACAGTCAGAGGCAACCAGGCTTTGTTTCCTCTGGACTTCAAGCAATTTTATTAATTTTACTGTTTACAAATAAAAGGAAACAAAACACCATCATACAGCAGCATTTACGTAACCGGGAGTTTCTAGACACCCAACATTTTGGGTTTGGATCTACACAACAGAAGTTGGACACTTAAATCGTAGCATATTTTCCTGCTCAACCGACTGTACTCCAGAGACTGTCTCCACATGAATCTTCATTCCAGCACTTGGGATCAACCCATTCTAGGCTCCTCATTTACAAACAGAGATATGGAGCTTCTGGAGTGAGTCCAGTGGAAGGAAACAAAGATGATTTAGGGACTTGAGCATCTCTGTCTCACAAGGAAAGGCTGAGGGAGCAGGGCCTGTTCAGCTTTGAGACAATAAATAAAAGGGGGCCTCCACAGTGTCTGTCAGTACCTGCAGGGAGGCTGAGGAGAGGATGAAGGCAGGACTAGCTGTGACCATGGCCAGGTGCTAGGAGCGGGCCCAGCAGTGAAGGGCCCGTCTGATCCAGCCAGCTCCTCTCCCCCATCTCCCACTTATTAGTCATGCTGCATTTTGTTCTGTGCCCTTCACTTTAAAAAGCACATTGAGGTGCTGGAGTGTGGCCAGCAAACAGCAAGAAGGCTCTTGAAAGGTCCAGAAAACATGTCTTATGAGGAACAGCCGAGGGAGCTGGGGTTGTTTATTCTCAAGAAGAGGAGCCTGAGGGGGCCTTTATCCCTCTCCACAACTCCCTGGAAGGTTTTTGGGGCCGGTCTCTTCTGCCGTGCCTGCAGTGACTGGACTAGAGGGAACGGCCTTGAACTGAGAGAGGGGACGTTTAGATTAGACATTAGAAAAATATTTTTCACTGTTAGGGTGGTCAGGCGTTGAAGTATTTCCCTGCGAAGTGGTGGAGTCACTATCCCTGCAGGTGTTCAAGAGGCATCTGGATCTAGCGCTGGGTGATTTAGTGCTTATGGGTTACAGTGGCAGTGTCGGGTGCACGGTTGTACTGGATGACCTGAAAGGTCTCTTCCAGCCTTGATGGTTCTATGGTTTAGACAAACAGCTCCACAGCCCCCAAACAAAAAAACGCACTCCCCCCGCCGCCACAAGGGTGAGGGGAGAGGAGGGGCGGGGAGGGACCCGCGCCGCCGGCCTCCGCCCGTGAGGGGGCGCCAGCGCGCAGGCGCAGCCCCGCCCCGTGGGGAGGTGCCGCTGGCTGGGAGCGGTGAGTAGCGGGGGGGGGGGCTATGGCAGAGTGGCGCGCGCGGCGGTAGTGTCCCCCTCCCCCCCGCCGCGCTGTTCCGTGAGGCGGTGGAACGCGGGGGGAGATCCCCGATGTCCCGGGAGTTCCCACTGGGCTCTTCCAAACTGGGGCCAAACTGCCCCCTTCGTCCCGGTGGCGGCGCCAGGAGCCCCTGGCCGACCGGAATGGGGTTGTGCGACTGCCCTTGCACTGCCCTTCCCTTCCCAGGGGATCCCCAGCACCCGTGTCTCTCCTGCCCCTCAGTAATCAGGGGTAGCCGAGGGCGTGTTTTTCCACCTTTGCTCAGGTAGTCATAGTATGGTTTGGGTAGAAAAAAATCATCTTTGGCTTAAAAATCATCTTGTTCCAACGCCCCTGCCAGGGACACGGATACCTTTCAGAAGACTAGGGTGTTCATAAGCCCCATCCAGCCTGGCCTTGAACACTTGCAGGGATGGGACATCCACAGCTTCTCCGGGCAACCTGTTCCAGTGCCTTAGAATAAGGAATTTCTTACATATGCTAAGTAGCTGAAATTTCCCCTCTTTCATTTTGAACCCAAAGCATTTGCCCAGTGAGTGCAAAAGTGAGACCTGAATGCTGGGCCTGCTGGGGTGGGTGGCTAAAGTGACTGCACTACAGTAGTGCTTGGGCTGGCCTGTCATGTCGAAGGTTTTTTGTAGAAGATTTTTTCCTACTATTGTCTTTTTAGCCAGTGGTCTGAAGACTGATGCTGTTTGGTCCACAGGTAGCTAAAGCATTAGCCAAAGTCAAGTGAAAAACCCTAAGCCCATTATCAGGAGATTTAGATTTGCTGTATGAAGATGTGAATCTCTTAAAGTTAATGTCAGGATGCACAAAATTAAGAAGATCAAAAATCAGTGTGTGCGAGCTGGGAATGTTAGGTGACACTGGAAGTGATCAGTAATATTTACACTAGCTAAAATTGATGCTGTAAGACAAAATGAGTGTGAATTTGCATTCAGTGAATGCAGCTCTTCCAGTTTTTTTACAGAAATTACACCTGTTTTTCATTCTGCTTCTAGGAAGTATTCAACATTAAGCAACATGTCTTCCACCAAACCTCCAAATGAAAATGAAACATCCAAAGAGAGAAAACCAGGACTGAGGAATGTTCAAACAACTATGCTTTTCCGAGCTGTGAACCCAGAGCTTTTCATTAAACCTGTAAGACAGTCATTCTGAGAGAAACTAAATATGCTTGAAGAGATACAGTTGCTTTAAAGTGATCATTACAATTCTCTGGGCATTATATAACTTATCTCTTGTTATGCAAACCACTCAGAAATGTAACTAAAAATATTTTTACTTTTTTCCACTCTTGACTGTGGAGAGTGAAGAACATTACAATGCTCATTGTCTGATTCTTTTGTACCTAGCCAAGTTGCTTTCAGAAAGACCTGTTTAGAGGTATATTGCCCATGTAATTTGGCAGGTTAAATAATATTATTATTAAGTAATAAGAACATCAGGAGTTGTTTTTAGTATTTAAAAGGGAACAAATCATAGAATGCAAACTTTCTTGGTATGAAGTGAATTGATTTTTGGTAGCTTTTCAATATTTTGGATTTTCCTTTTTCTTGCTTTTATAATTAAGTTTATGATACTCAGGTTTTATTTGCATTTGCAGAACCCAGAAATGAATGAAATTTTGTGCTTATAATAAGTATAGATTTAATAAAAGTACATTTTTTGATAAGAATACAAAGTGTGGTTTAGAGGATTGTAATCAAGCAGGACCAGAGTGCATTGTCCCAGTAGTATATCCAGATGAATTCTGTTAAAAGTTTGTAGTGGAGACCTTCAGTAATTGGTTTTGTTTGGTTCATTTATACTCAATCAGCATTTCCAACCAGCAAAATAGAGAGTACTGGGCAATGTGCTGTTCTGTCTCCAGAAAGAATCTTCTTTTTCAAAGGGAATTTCTGTTGCTGTCAGAAAATTCAGTCTGCAAGAAGGCAGTGATGATTTTTTGCAGATGTCACAATAGTTTACCATTTCTAAGCTGAGATAGGCGAATGTAATGTTTGAGTTTAATGAAAAATGTTTTGACTAAAAACATTTACCACATTTTTTTCTTGTCAGAACAAACCTGTGATGGCGTTTGGACTGATAGCAATTAGCCTCTGTGTGGCCTACCTTGGTTATTTGCATGCAACAACAGAGAATAAAAAGGACCTCTATGAAGCAATCGACAGTGAGGGGTCCAGATACATGAGGAGGAAAACTTCCAAGTGGGACTGAGAATGTAAGAAAGGAAATCAGTAAATCACTCTCCGAACTTTTCCAGGCAACTACTGTTTTTTTCTCTTTCCCTTGAAATAATGGAGAAAAGTCTTGCTTGCTATTTAATCCAGTCCAATCCTTTATAAAATGCTGTGCCTGTACAAATAAACTGCAGTAAAGATACATCTGAAAATAAAAGTGATTTTAATAATTGCCCTCTATGATCTTCACAGAGATCTTTGTCAGAAGATATGAAATCACTTTGGACCTCCAATCAGTGCTGGTAAATGCCTTAGAAACTGACATGATAGTTCAGCTTTCTCTTTGCTTTGATTAAATGAAGTCAGGGGTTTATCTTTTTTTTTTTTTAATAGAATGAATAATGTATTGTCTTTGAGAAGAAAAGTAGATATCTTGTTGATAACAGTGGTGCAAGTAAACTAATTTTAAGGCAAGGAAGATCGGATAAAACAATTGGTCAACAGTTTTATTTCATAAAGGAAACTGTAAAATACTGGCCAAAATAATCCTTGGATGCTTAATCTACTCTTCCTTACAAATAAAAGAAGGTAAATATCAGTAGCCAAATAGAGAAAAAGTGAAACAAGTACTTCTGTTAAGAGAAAGGTAGGAGGAGCTCAGCCGTTATCTTTCCTGTTTCACACCATATGACAGATCAGTGCTCATGCTGGCTTCAGCCTGCCAGTTCATAGCTTTAGCTCCAGCTTGGCCAGAGTTTGTCTAATATTCTTGACTAGTCAGCAGGACTGGTTTTATTTCAACTGCATTCAAAAACTTCATTTCTCTACATTGCAAAGTACATTATATGATGTTAATTTATTGCAGGTTACTGAACTCAAAATAAGGAATGGAAAGTCTAAAATCCCCAGGTACTTCTGTGAGTGTGGCTGGAGGATGGGTGGGCATTGTGGCGTTTCCTAGCACATGTGGTGGTCCCTTGTGAGCCTTTGAGCAAACTGTACAGGCAGGTGTCTTCCTGTTCCAGCACTGAGTCCTTCTCCCATGAGCTTCCCAGCTGCTTCTGGGTGCCTGACACTGTCTCCTAGACAGTGTCCTATTAACCAGACTCCAGAGCATGTGGTGAGAGGACACATTCCAGGCTGTGACCTCTTTCTCCCATGGACCCTTACTGATTTTATGTTGCAGTTTTCCATTCAGTTTCTTGTATTTACAGACCCAACAAGGGCTCCCAGGGAACTGAGAGACCTCTTTGTTGACCCTCTTCCAACCAAGGTGGCTTCTGTCAGGCCAGAGAAAGAACATGCAGGATCTCCTGCTTTACTATTCTGGGAGTTGCTTTGGGTTTTATCAAAAGATTTTGGTACTGAAGATAAAAAAGGTGACTGGCTGCCTTGAGGGACAGCAGTTGCACCATGGGATTTCTGTCTATCTCCCTCTAAGTCCTTCACTTTGAATCTGTGAGTTTACTCCTGTTCTTCTTTTATAGTTAACTGTATCTTAAATTCAGGGGGGCTTTGGTTAAAGTGCCTCCTTCCTGAGAAGGGAAGTGAGCTCTATCTATAATAAAGCTTTTTTTTTTTTTTTAAGGGGCGTTTTTACAGCCTTTAAAAGCAGATTCCTCTCTGGGAGCCTGGAGCCTGCTGCCCTACAACAGCAAGGTTCCTGGTTTTGTTCCTGTTTTGGTTGCTAAGTTTGCAGGTGAGGAAACTACTTGCCTTTTGATTGGTGAAGGAATTTCCCAGTGAAATGATGAAATATTCAGGACTCTCACATGCTGTGCATATCCTGCAGAATGTTTTTTTTATGTTTGTGAAGGATCTTTAGAATAAATCTGTTCTTTTAAAAATGGTTGCACAGGATTTTAGCTCTTTTCAGTTCATTAAAATGCACAGGTCTCATATGTTTGCATGAATTTGACTAAATTATTCCCAAATCAGTGCTACAAGTAAGTATTTTTATCTGTTTTTCTATAGGCTTCTAGAATACATGCTTTGATCCTCTGCAGATGAATTGAAACCCCATTCTCTTATTTAGAATAATGCAAGATTTGTGTTCTCAAGATTTTCAGTTATGTTTTTGTGAAGTGAATATGGAGTTACTGGGGAAAAGAAAGTGGGACTGGAGGCATAAAAGATAATAGACTGACCTGGATAGGGTGTAGGCATGTACATGCCAGTGACACTTCCTACAGAAGCTGAGATAGGGCCTCTTGAATGTTGGCTGGACTCAAGTTGACCACGTTACTTTAGAACTGCGAGGTTGAAGAAAGAATGGATATTTAAGTTTGTCCTATTATTTCTTTGGCAGCTGCTGTACAGGTAACTCTTAATGATACACAATTTATGTATAAAAAAGAGATAAAGCAGTGCAAATACAGAGAGGTATGTGGTAGGTTAATGAATGTTACAGTATCAACACAGGCATTTGCTGGTTTAAGTTCCTGATTTTTATCATAAGAACAATGTGTGTATAGGGATTAAAGAGAAAAAAACCCCACCCAAACAAAACTGCTTTGATACCAAAATTTGTTTGCTCAGCTCTGAAAGCGTGACACCCCTTATGCATCTGGAGTGCACACAGCACAAGTGTAGTTTCTTTTGTTCTGTGTTTTTCAATTTCAGTCTTCAGTACAGTGATAATTATCTATAAGGGATGATAACTGGCTTGACAAAAACTGTGAGTCAAAATTATTTCCTAGGCAGAGGCTCTTTGAGGTTTTTGCCAGTTCCTTACTGTCTGTGCTGACTTTCACATCTTTTTCCAAGAACAGCAACAAAATGCTACGATTAAAATATCCAAAACTGTAGCTGTTGTACTGTTCCTAAGATCTCCTTAGACTGTGTGGTGTGAATGGGACTTGTTGGCATTCAACAAAAAAAGCAATTAAACAATTAAAGGGCCAAAGCCTACTGCGATGCTGTTTAACTATTACCAGGGAAAGTTAGTTCTTTGTGGGTGAAACCAGCCCTTGCCCAGTAACAGTTGCTACACAGGAAGCTGCATTCAGGCTGGAAAGCCTGAATTCATGAAACCCTCCCTTATCATCTGTCTCCTGGCTGTTACTGAATTGTAGGCATGTTTAAATCCTAATTGGAAAGCAAATGTTTCAGCTAACTTGGTAAACAATTGCCAATGATTTTTCTCCTCTTACCAGCTTGCGTGTTTTCTGTAGCAACAGTAAGAGTTTTGCCTGCAAATGAGATCTGTCAGGAGTAGAGTTCTGACACTCTAGTAACTATTACAGAATGACACTGGAACATCACAATGATTTGAAGTTCTGATCTGGATTCCTTTGTTGTGCTGTGTGTTCAAAAAGGGTACCACCACCACCTCCCAGTGCTGCTTTTGATCAGATTCAGGAGTACAGGCCTTCCAGAACACAGCATTAAACTCATTGTAAGGTACTGGGAAAGTTCATTTCTGAAATTCCTTTCTTTTATTGCAATCTGAGATTTAGGAAAACCCAAAGTCCTCTTGCTTCTATGTGTTCTGGCCAGTCATGAATGCATTTACATCTTAGTAAGAAAGAACTGCTGCATATTAGTAACTCCAGTATATTCAGGGAGGAAAAAGGTCAGCTGTTCTGCAGTGTATGAAACATTCTGAGTTGGGCATAATGAAGCATGAAAGGCAAAGGAGCTGCAAGACCATTAGCAAATGTTTTCTGAAGCTCAAGTACTTAGGTAAGAGCTATGTTTGATTTAACATTTGCACAGATCATCCCATCATCCTTCAACAGGACATAGCTGGGATATTTAATCCTGAATCTCACCTTCTTACACCTGATTCTGGCTCCTGACCTTAGACTGAAGCTCTGTACAGTCTCTTGAGGTTTGATTTTTTCATGGCATACCACAATGATAACCTCAGTGATGAAGGGCTCATGGTAGCATTCATATGTTTGAGGATCTAGGAAGAATCTGAAGTATATGCTGTGCCTGATTGTCTTAGAAGTTTCTGATCAGCAGTGCAAAGTTTTGCAGAAATTAAGTTGTGCATGTTTTTTTTAATGTGTGCTGTGAAGAGGAGTGTTTGGTTTTTGATTTAAACAATATCAAGAGTTTATCAATGTCCTGAGGGCCCTGGCAGCAGGGTGAGTGCCATGCCTGCTTGGAGGCATGAGGCTTCAGCCTTGTATTGACATGCACAGTGTGAAACATACTCAGAAGACCAGAGGCCTTCTCTTTTTCAATTATTTTCTCTTCACTGCTTGATAAAATGGACAGGGGAAGAGATGTGTCATCAAGGCACAACATGCTTTCATTTCTGTGGAAATAGCCAGCATGACAGAACTGAGTGCTTGACAGCAAGATTGTAATTCTGAATAATAATAAATAAAAAAGTTTAGTTTGGATTTTTTGGGGGTTTTTTTAATGCTTGCCATAGCCAGGACCTTTATTCACCTGAGATTTGAACTCCAGTGCCAGAAGAAGTACTTAGCCTGAAAAACGACTGGCTTTGTGCTTGATGAGATGTGAGCTTGAGCTGGCTGGATCTTCAATTCACTTTTGAACATTTCACTACCTTTTTTTATTGCATGAAGTTTATGGACTTTATTGTAAGTTCATTGTCAGGCCTTGTTTCATTATGAGGTACATTTCCTAAGGGCAATAAAGTACAGGCTTAACTTTAAATCTGTCCTGAAGGTTTGTGTCCATCAAAGCTAGTAAAGTGTATAACAGATTGGCTGACTCTGGACCCTAAGCGAGGAGAAGGAAAACTGCCAACATACGTATATTCCTAAATGAAGCATGCCAGCTGTAGGTTTATGTTTCTCTATATGCTTGACTCATGCTTTATATGGCTTTTTGGATATCTGAGAAAAGACTGAAATACACAAAGAGATCCTTCTGCATCTGAGCCTTCCTGCTTTCTGCACCACTTCAGGGGCTTTTCACTGCCAGAGCACCCGAGCGCTCCTCAGGCAGGCATTACTCAGCGCGTCTGACACCTGCCATCCGTAGTCTTGCAGCCTCCCACCAGATGACAAACGGCTCACAGAGAATTGCTGGAGTGTTTTGCTTTGGAATTTTATTTTATACAGGTTTCTAAATAGCTATCTGTTTATACTGCAGGCAGTCAGAGCAATGCACTTGGCACGTCAAGAGGAAAAGCAGGCAGGTTTATAGTGGTCTTAAGTTTTCAACAGAGTTCATTCCATTTAATGGAGCTGTTTTCCAAGGGAGCTCTCTCTCTTGCTGTCATAATATCTGCTGACAGTAGCTGGCAGAATC